CTGGGTGAGCAGGCACTTCAGCCCTTTGATGCCACCAAGGCATGGGTTCCTTCTGAGCCTTTCTGCTCCTGCTTGGTTCCTCATGAGGGCGGCAGGGCTGAGTGCGGAGACTTAGAGCTTTACTTCCTCCTCCTGTTTTTCGTGATGGCCTCGCAGGGATGAGCTCAGCTGTCCAGGCAGCACGGCCACCTTGGCCACAGCCAGCGGCCCTGGAGTCTCACTTCCGCGGTTTCGTTTTTCTTTTATTTGAGGCAGCCCACCTCCCCCGAGGCACAGCCCTTCATTCCTCTGCAGACGTAGTCTTGTGCCGCAGAACAAATTGTGCGCACTGAATTGAAAAGTACATAAATAAAATCTGATGAAGTGCCCAGTTACAGGCGCCTAAGTGGGTTGTGTAGAAAACGGATTAGAAATTGTAATTACGCTGCTCTCCAGGGCCCTGCCTCGCCCTTTCTGCAGCCTGGAGGTCAGGGTGGGGCTCCTTGTCAGGTGGAGGAGTTTGCCAGGCGCTCCCTGGAGTCCCTGAGGAGGAAGCCCAGGCTCTTCCCGGAGCCTGCTCCACGCCTGTGGCTGGGGAGGAGTTCAGCAAGCCCGAGCCCTTCACGCCCACTTCTGATTAGATCAGACTCTGCCTGGGAGTTGATGGGAGGCCCCTCAGGCGGCGGCAATACCAAGTGATGCTTGGTGGGCGTCCTGGTCTGAGACTGAAGCAATGGGAAATAGTTCTCCCACTCCAGGCTCGGCTTGGGGATCTGTGGGGAAATGGCTTCCTACTGCCCAGCTCTGCAGTTTCCTTGCCCGGGGTTGGTTCTTTGTCTCACGAAATACACTTAGTGCAGCACTCCCCGCCCGCCCCCACCCCGCCTGGTAGCACGTGATAGGAATCAGCACTCTGCAATTTGACTTGAGTAGCCCAGGGCCTGAACCGGTAAGCTGTGTTCTTACGAGTCAGGGGAGCTCTCAGGATTGGGGTGAAACAAGAATATCAACAAGAGATGGGTTCTGTCCAACCCAGAAATCACAGCAAGCCGAATGTTCTCCCAGCTTGTCTGGGCAGGAGACGGGGCTGGCCTGTGCGTGCGAAGACTGCCATGTTTTTGCTGGGGAAGAGTCTTGTCCGTGCCTCATGGAGGAAATAACTGCTCCCTTTTTTCTCTCCCAGGTGTGACGTACGCAGCCAAAGGCTACTTTGATGCCCTGGTGAAGATGGGGGAGCTGGCCAGCGAGAGCCAGGGCTCCAAAGAACTCGGTGAGACCCCGCCTGGCAGTCGCCTGATGACCCTCAGGCAGCTCTGGGACCCTGTCCTATGTCTAGCCGCTTTTTGATTTGACATCAGGTTTTGCCTGTCAAATGGGAAAATATTTGTCACCCTGGGAGCTGCCTTGAGGGGCACATCCTGCTGAAAGTGGGCGGTGGGTCCCGTCCCCTGAGGCGTGCAGCTTAGGGTGAGGACAAGCAGGCAAACCCATGTTTAAAGGTGCTCCGGGCAAATTGGAGTGGCTGACATGGGGTCTGTGTGCTTGGATGATGGGATTAGATGGCATGGGAATTCATTCCTGCTATTAAAATGAGTGAAAAAGGATACAGGCCCACGTGTGGTGTGGCCCTGAGGAAGACGCTCCAGCAGCGTGTCTGCTGGCTGACTGGCAGCTTATGTTATTGACGCTTTGTCTGTTTAGCAAATTTTCTGTGGTGGCCCCTACGACGTCTATGTCAAGGGACACAGGGCAAAACCTGGAAAGTCAGGGCCTGCGTGGTGGTGCTGCAGGCGTGGCTGAGGCGGAGTCCATGCTTCCACAGTCCCCTCACCTAGCTGGGTGGTGCTGAGGTCTCCTCTGCCCACCTGGGAGACCCCAGGCTGGCTGTGCCTGTGCTGATTTGCTGCTCCCAGAGCTTCCTCGACGCACGACGAAGCCTGAGTTGCTGGAGAAACCACTTGGATTCCTCTTCCCTCTGGTCACAGAGGACAGGCCGTGCTCGCTCTTGATTGTCTCCCCGTGGCCGCTGATCTGGGAGGTGGTCTGCAGGTCTGGAGACCCTCGGATGTGGAAGCGTCAGTGGGACTGGCCCTGGTCCCTTTTTTCTACTTTTCTTTTTGGGGACCGATAGCCCCCTTGACTGACAGAGGCCCTGGATGTGTCGGTAGGCAGTGGGTTGGGGGGTCCTGGGTTGCTCTGTGTCAATTCCAGCTCCCAGAAGAGGCTCCATCTCCCTAATGCTGAGGCGGTGGGGCCGGGAACCCGGGAACCAGCTTTGCCTGCCCAGGCTCCGTTCTCTCCAGTTCGCTCTCGACGTCCTGCGTGCTTAGCAGCCCCTATGGCCCCTCATTGGAGCCCCCTCCCCCCACCATGCCATTCCCTTGGGCAGGCGCGCTGGGATGTTTGCTGCAGGTCTGGTGATTGCTGGGAGCTTCTTTTTTCTTTTCTTTTCTTTTTTTTTTGAAATGGAGTCTCACTCTGTCACCCAGGTTGGAGTGCAGCAGCACGATCTCAGCTCACTGCAATTTCCGCACCCTGAGTTCAAGCGATTCTCGTGCCTCAGCCTCCTGAGTAATTGCGACTACAGGTGCCTGCCAT